ACACACACACACGCACACACTAATGCACACACACTCTTAGTTCTTCATACACAGGGAGTTCATATACATACTGGCATGTAAAAATCCATCACACATGCATGCACATAGACAGTGGAGCCCAAGTGTATTTCTTTATCATCTTATGATAACACACACACTTACACACTCTGCTTTTCAACATCAGACTTCAAGCTTTGGCTCTTGGAAGTTAGATCCAACTATAAAGGGAGCAGAACCTCAGGACTATGCAAGGAATCCATTGAAAAACAGTACAATCCTTTAAAAATGCTTGTAAAAAGCAGTAAAACATTTCAGTGAGCTCAATCACACATTCTTAATCAGTCTTGTAGAATAATAAAAATGTGATACTGAGAGAACAGATGAACACATAAGGTACTGATCAAGTAAAACTATCACTATTTGTGGGTTATTTTTACATCGCTTTGTAAGAAATCATTATTCTTATTTTCAATGAATAAAAGTAATTTCTTTTAACTGATACGCTGTAGAGCTATTTGGAGTGAAATGATCAATGTATCACAGAGAAGAAATGAGTTCTGACATAAGTATAAGTATGAATATCCTAAAATCAACAGTGCCGTGGTGCAGCCCAGTTGAGCATCAAGCTGTTCAGGAAAGATAGCTAGGGTTAGTTAAACAACAGTAGTGGGTGGGTCAGGCCAGTGAGGAGCTGCAGCCTGCACAGACAGGGCCAGGCAGCATGAGAGGGTGTGGTGACTGCTGCATGTTTCACAGCAGGCTGTTTGGACAGTGACAGAAAGAGAACTGCAAGGCCTGGATGAGTTCATGGAACTAAGAATTATATTCTCATGAACACCAATATGTTTGGGTCAGAATGGAGTTTATAACACTGGTTGGAGAGAAGGGAGTAGTTGACATCAGAAAAGAAAAACAGGATATGTACAATGGGCTTAAGCAAGAGCTATGAAACAGGCCACTTAAAGTAAGATACTTTATCATGTTTTTATTATAGAGGGAGGAAACTTATACTGTCTCAAGTAAATAAAGCTTTTTTTTATGGAGAATGAGCAGAAATCTACACTGTAAACTGGCCTGTGGATCTTATGTCATCTGCACAAATACATGCTCCTGATGCTACTGGGGAAAAAACACCTATTGATTGTTTGCACATTTTATAATGACAACAGACAAATGAAGGTGAAGAGTAAGGATTAGGCTTGTGCACAATTAGACTGGCCCCACCCTGTCTATTAACCTACTTATATACTACATTCAATAACAACATTTTTCTCCTTTATTTACTCTTCTTTAGGTACTTAAGTCAGAGACAGGCCTGGCAGTTGAACTGTCATGTCTTTTCATATAACTAGGCATAATTGGATTGTTATGTCTTCCTATATAAGAGCCCTGAAAACCAAGCTGGCCTTTAAATCAGTGCTGATATGACTGTTCTATTTCAGCAACTATAAAGGAGAAAGCATTGTCTGCAATCTATTTACAGGCAACGCTGGTAGAGAGACAATATTGGATTTCATATCAGCAATCTCACCTATGCATATCTCATCATCCGTCTCGGCATCTCCAATACACTGGAATTTAAACTCGTTGAGAGAGTCAGCAAACTTCCTCTTGGCCGTTGACAGACCTGAGAGAATGGAGGGAAAAGAAAAAGAGGCTGTTAGGTTTACTATAGGATACTTTAGAGACCGCATGCTTTTTTAGCAAAAGCCATAGTTCATGTTTAGTGCACCTTATTCTGTGGGAGTTCATATTTATTCAGTCACCAAGTGTAAAGACTCATTTAAGGCATCACATTCTTACTTTTAACTTTGGTTACCGGGCCTAAACACATGTAAAAACACCCGTGTAAGAGAATATCATCCTTTGTCCTGATTTTATGTAAGTTACTGAAAGTGAGAGTGAGTGGAAAGAGGCTAAACGCGAACGGGCGGATACTGTGTAGTAGATCCCCAGTGGCGTTAGTGATGAAGGTTGACAGCTCGTACATTTGTGCGGAGGTTTTTTGGTGTGTGAGCATGTGAGGGTGTGCTGAAAAGTGCAAAAAGTTCCATTAAACTTAAAGTCACATTAGCCAAGTGAGGCAGTGAAAGGCCTCGGACAGATGGATGCCTTTCAAATAATACATGAGGCGCTAAGAGCTCCTAGGAGACAGACACTCACAGCGAGTTTGGCTTCCCCTCCATTTAAACCCAAGGCAGGGTCACCTTCACAGCCATATTTCCCGTTGTTGGACTGGCCGAGGTCAGCCACATAAACAGGGTCGGAGTGAAATCACAAACATTTTAACATGATGTCCATCATCTCTATTGGTGCTTTGGCTAATTATTCCTTTACTTTCATGGTTAACGTTAAAGAGTAACAATGTGATGAGGTCAACCCTAACAGGGAAACCCAACAGTTTCTGTCCTCCTCCAGAGAGGAAAAGGAAAGAAACTACACAAAACGTACACAAGCAAACATGTGTTTTAGTGGTGTTTTGTATACTACTATGAATAGAACTTGTAAATGAAATCCAGACGAGAAATGAAGAAGGGAGAGAAAAGAGAGGATGGATCAAGACTCTCATGGAAAGACAGATGGGAGTCAGGGAAAGGACAGTGAGTGTAGAGAGAGAAGACAGACAGAGTGTAATTGGCCATGTTTAGGTAAATACCACAGGTCTTCCATGTAGATCTGCGGGTGTGTGCACACGTTTGGAAAGAGCCGCTGCAGCTTGCCAGTCAGAGAAATAAAACACAGGCCTCGCAGCTCCTGCATGTGCTGCCAGAAACACATGCTGGCGCACACCCACAGCAACACACACCACACCACACCCCACACACACACATCCCCACACAACCACCAGACAAAAGCAGACCAACCACACACACACACACACACCACTGTCTCCCTTGGGACTGACTCAGAAAAACATTGTAGGATGTCAGTCATGAGTGAGTCACAAAGGCTCTGTAGCGTCAAAATAACTAAAGTATGACCAAACTGAGACCACACTCCGACCTTCAAGGATAAACTGTGGTTTTACAGTACCAGTGTCCAGTAACGAAAAAAAAAAGTTCTTCTAGTACTACCCTAATATCCTTTATTTTCCAACAATTTGTTCAACAGCAGTAATCCTAGGTTGTGACACATTATAATAAAATGAAAACTATAACAAAGCTGAAAAGCAGAAGAAGTGAGATACAAACAACGTGGACTGTGATGGAAATGTAAAAATACTATATATATACACTATTGCATTGAAAGAATTTGGATAAAAAATAAATAAAATCAATCGATTTTTCAGTTTCTGCCTGCAAAAAAGAACCTGCTGCAACTCTGAAACGCTGGCCTGTAGTGGACATTAATGTTGAAGAATTATAGGAATTGGTTAAAAAAGCAAACAGGCACAACAGTTTTTTTGGCATTGTGTTCCACTTCTTAGCAAATAAAAATGTGTTTAGGTTGAAGACAGCAGGGCCTAGAAGCAGTGTGGCCTGCTCTTTGAAGCTGCCTGCATGTGCATCCACAGCTTTAAAAGTCAGACAGGTCAGCACCTGGCAAAGTCATCTGTAAAATACTAGTAGTGACTCAACAACCAAGTGAAAGCCCTGTAGATGTATCAGGAAGTTATTGTACCGTAGCTGTTAATAAATAGATAGAAATATTGAGGACAATGTAGGAAAAGATTATTTTGCACGTTCATGTTTTGCCTATTTTGTAGTGACGTATAGTCGTATAAAGATTTTGGGGTTTGTATAACTTTCATTACCAAAAATCAGCCACCTTACATAGTTAGTTAATGAGGCTGCATTGACAACAGGTATAAACATGCATGATTTTCAGCATGGGTGCCCTGACGTGTGACTGATGTCATGCTCTGTGCCCACTGAGCTACACAAACTACTACAATGCCCTCCTCCCTCTCGCTTCTCTGCTCTGTTTTTGGCGTCCGTCTCCCTTTCCTCTCCTCTCCGCCACTGACAGTTCCTATCAGCACCTTCCGAGTGAAACGTCCCCATCGTTTTTTAATTTCTTCACTCTGGCTCCAGCCACACTCTCCATGCTCTCCTTCATAAACATCAAAACCAACCACACGCCATAGAGTAGGAAAACAGAAGGGAATTTAAAGAAAGTACAGCCCCAGATACACTCACACTGTTATATATCATCAGTTTATGACTGTATGTGTATTCTAATAGTTACTGTGCGACAGTAAAACAGTCGTCCACTTCTACTTCATTTTATCGTTTCATACATTGTGTTCTGCCAACAGCAGTTGGTTTCACTTAAACATGCTGTTGCTAGTAGCAACCCCAAGTGACACAGTTCTCCAGCAGACATTGACAGACATATTTATCTACTCCTCAAATGCCCTTGTTGGAACATTATCTATTAATACTCTTTTATTACAGCTGCTTTGCTATTTAGTAATTTTAGTTTTTCTATGAGCAGCTCTGCTAATGAAGCTGAAGTAACTGCTGAATTAAGCTGCCGCTGGGATAACTGTTTGTTTGGATAACTGTTGTGCATTTTTTTGTATTTTGTACAACATAATGTCGATATTTCACTGGTGTAACCTTTGTTTCTTCCCGACATGAAGCTCAGTATAACCAGTTTGAGTAGTAGTTGCTAGTCTGTACTTGAATCCAGTTTCCTTGTTACTGTAATAACATGTAATTATAATTTTTACAACACCTTTGGTCTGACTCTTGTTGATGGAATTTGAACATTTTCTGATTTGTAATCACATACATTAAATTTAAAAAAAAATGTCTGTCTAATACTGTTATCACAGTTTTACAACTGCTTCCAGTGAAATCATATCATATACTGAGTTGAGAGTGCATACATTTTTTCTTTAGTTACCTAAAGGCGATGGATAAATGGTTAAAATGGCTAAAAATAACAGTTAACAGTTAAGAAATATTCAGAATTCAAACAATATTTGTGTGAGTTATTATTCACACAATTGGAACATGATTGGTGTTGTTGATGAAGGGGTACTTGAGTTCATCAGACAGGAATATGAGGGTACATCTGAAAAAAAGGTTGTGAATCTATCTAAACTAAGCTCAAGTGTTTTTAGATCCTTAAACAGCCACAATTTAAGCTTAAACAAAAGGGATTGATTGCCTGTTTGGTTTGATAGTCTAAAGTTACTCACTGCTGAAATGAAACTGCTTCCATTAACTGAAGTCATTAAACCTTCCTGTTTTTTTTTAACTAATGCTTTCTTATCAGCTCAGAAAACACATAAAGTGTTGATTCTGGAGAATGTTAGAAACCACTCACTTCTGATTTTAAACTTTACCCACTTCTGCAAATACGTTACTTAAGTTAATGATTACACATATATCTGTGTAAAAATGTCATTAAACAGGACCAGAGCAAAATCCTTTTTAGAAATCTCACATACATAGAGAGAAACATTTTACATTACATACATTTATGTATGGTGCATACTATAATGACTTTAGAGAGTGAGTTTCATTAATGGCTCAACAAATCCCTAAAGTAGTTGGACCATTTAGTCCTCACTTTGATTTGTAACCTATTAGACAAATCAACAATATATCTTTTCAGTGATTTAAATATTTTGCTGTACACATTATTGTATGCACTTCATTCTGGATATGGTTTATATTAATATGTGGTGTTGTGTATCATAAGGCAACACATTCTACACCGTGGGAAATATTATATTAAAGGCTGATTTATCCTTCCCTTCTTGTGTTTTCAGATCACTGCAATAATGATCAGCGACACCATTGCAGTGTGTGCAGAAATTATATTATGTCTGTATTATCATACATACATACATACATACATACATACATACATACATACATACATACATGTTTGTCAGTTACCAGATAGTGTTGCTAACAAAATAATAAGAAGCTTCCAAATTTTACAAGGTTCAAGCTGTATTTACATACCTTTCACTGTTTAATTTGTGAATACCCTGATGACTGTGACATATGACTTTATTCTACTTTGGAAACAATGAACTCCAAACTGTGATGAAAAACAAACTCAAGCATTAATTTGTGTTTAGCTTTCTTGCCCTTGTAGGATGTCTCACTGTACATTTTGGCAAACGATGTGATGAGGTAACATAAGAATTTTTTCTGGCTCTTACATGCAGATACATCATGCATGTCATATCGCTCCCCATAGCCACGTTCTCAATAGATGCTGCCAACAGCAGCGAGCTCGGATGCACGCAAACACACATATATTTTCATACATCTGTGCACACTCGCACTTCGGCCCAAAGCAGGGCTCCCGGCTCACTCAAACTGTGTTTCTAAATCAAAAGCACATTGTTGGCCTATATGATTCTGTAGGATCTTGCCAACACAAATGAATTACTATAAAACAAAGACAGAATTACATGCCACAACAAGTACATTGTCCAGAAAAGCTTTTGGGAAAGAGAATGTCTACTTACAGATGTAGCGAGCACTGATGCCTTACCATTTATGGTACTTATTTCGATGCAGTGATTCACAAGTTCAAGTCCCAAATTAAAAGATATCTTGCCAAAGTGCGGATAGAAGTAACATCAAAAGTCTTACAAGGACTGGATATTCATAGCATCATATCACTGATAACCTATGGTGTGCACTTGATAGTCACTAATTGCAGCAAAAGATAAATAAAATACAGTGATACCGTGGGATATTTATGGCAAGATACCACAAGGGAAAAAGTATAAAGAGTGTCTGGAGTTAAAAGAGATGACAAGAAATGAGGGAGGGAAACGCTTAAACCGGATCGGTGTCTTAACCCTTAGGCTACAGGGCCTCCCTGACATTGGTTATTTCTTACTATTTCTGGCCCATTTGGACTCGACATACATTCATTAATGTCCAGCCAGAATTGCATGTTATGTTGGCCCTGCTGCTAGAGCTGCATTCCATCATTGGTATTGCTGCGTAGGTCTGTTGATAAAGTGATAAAAATCAACCATTTGATGGAAAATATTTGAAATATTTTGAATATGTATATCAGATTTGCCTCTGAAAGATAAAAAGCCACATTGTTGGGGGTTTTCTGATGCAAGATGCCTTGATGATGCTATGGTGCCACTGCTATTTACTATTTGTGTGTGTGTGTTTCCACGTCCATGTCCAGGCAGGAAGGACAGCTAAGGACAGTGACAGCTATAAATAAATTGACCCTGTTGACACTCGCCTCTCTGTCCTCTTCCCCTTTTCTCTCGCACTTGTACGATTGAATTCCCCCCATTCTTCTCTCTTTCACATCCTCCTGAGCCTATGACAAAACCCAGAGGACACGCATACGAATCAACAAACAAACAGTGTCAAGCAATTACACACATCGAAACCCAGGACTTGGATATGAATAAATCTTCTTGCACTCTATGCAAACATTTAACACTTGCTGTGTCCATTAATACCTGTACATTTCTGTTATTCATGCCACAGCGTACCTTGGAGAACAATTCTAGTAGAAAAATGCAATTTTGCTCACTACGTTGATTGCTGAGGTCTGATGATGTGGCAAAAAACACAGATGTTTAGACAGGCTGTTAACAAACCCTCATGATAGTAGAGATGCCCCGATACCATTTTTTCCTTTCTGATACCAATTCCAATACCTGAACCTGACATATCAACCGTTACTTAACTTTGCTACCCTGGGGGAAAAAATGGCAAATAGGACACTTCTGATCTGTAGTTGAGTTCCTGTGCAATGAGGGATTATTTAATGTGCATTCACTTTAAGTCTAAATAAAGCCATTTGGATAACTGGACCTCACACAAGCAGATTCCCAGATGTTCCCAGATCTTACCGATTACTTTGGTAGTATTACTTTGCATACTTCACTTTGCTTCGCTTCCATTTACTTGCCAACCAAAGTCGGTGGAACTCGTTTTGGATTCAGCATTGTGAAAAGTTCAGTACACAGTGTCAACACAACACATACCACAGACATTGTCGCAGTTAATAGAAATGATCGCCACAACTGCAACAATGAGATCCAAGTTATAATAAAGAGGTATTGCATCCTTAAATAATATTCAGGTTCATCAACTAATCACAGTCACCTATGAGGGGCTGATAGATTATTTGAACAAGACAATGAAGTGTCAAAAAGGGCAAAAAGCAATATTGTCACTCCTTTCTGGCAAGCTGATATTTCTTAAAGAGAGTTTGTCATGTGTAGCAATACTGGTGAGGGGGATCTTGCCAGCCTTAAATAGGCCCGTCACATGCCGTTTAATAATGACATTTGAGGGACAGTGGTTTGGATGCTGCTGGATTGAGGAATCCTGCTCACAAAAGTGCAGGGAAAAAACACACACACAGACACATACACAACACACATTGCACTGTAAGCTACACAAAAGGAATCTGTAATCAACCACAACCATGCAGCGGCACTGTACAACGGCTGCTATGTGTATTAACTCACAAACACACACATACATAGTCGAAAGAATGGGCCTGTGTGATATCAACAGGATATCCAGCAGTAGCTTGAACTCTGCAGTAGCTTTGTTCCACAAGCATGTGAATAGAAACCCTATTCATCAAGTGAGACAAACACACACACACACACATCCACACCATTCATCTGTGGGGACAAAGACAGATTTCAGTCTCCTCATCCAATTCTTTACATGACCCAGCAGCCAAGCAAGGAGAGGAATTCTCAATCATATAGTGAAATATTGTAAAAGCATACTACACACAATTGATTTAATAAAATCTTGTGATTTAACAGGATTTTACTTCTTAAACTGGCTATATTTAAAAAACAATGGATTTACATATTCAAATTGGAGGCAAAATGCAATGATCTATTCTCTATTGAGAAACTTTTTTTCGATCTTAAAGAAATGTATGGTACAGTGTAAATGCTGCTTTGTGGTTGCCATTGTTCCAGCACCAACAGAAAAATGCGGCATTTGAATTTAATTTACTTCCACATGTGGCTTCAGACCAGTCAGTATTTTTCTGAGTCTGCTGTATATAGATGTAACATTTGTTCAACGGGTCCAACTACAGTATGTTTCATGTTAGTTGAAGAGGTTATGATGAAGTTTAGTAACTGGGAACATGTTTTACTATATGCACAAAAACGATTAACTTTGCGAGGCAGCTGGCCTCGAGAGATAACAATCACAAGATCACGTCCATCTTGCCAGGCTTCAATCTATACATTTTGGCCGGTACAGGAACAATCAGCGCCCTTTGAGGAAGTACTGGCAGCTATGGGGGTGGTCACTAGGTGTGATGCAGCAAGAAGAAGACACTGTTCATTAAACCACAATGGCAGCTCCAGTAGTGGTTCGTAAAGATGCTGCTAACATCAGTTATATAAGAACTGGAGCGCATTCTTTATTGAAAGAAAAGTAAAGAACAGGACTGAAGGCTACTCGATGGAAAAGATGTTTCTCCTGACTGGATTTGGTCAGAGTTTGACAAAGTTATATGGTTCGTTGACCAGATTAGTTAAGTTCGCTCATGATAGACAGGTTAATCCAATCACCTGCAAAGTATTTCTTGTGCCTCCCACAGTTGCCAATCACTATTTCCAAGATGATTTTGTGTAACAAAACATCTGGTGTAACAAAACATCTGGCAATGAACTGGCAAATTTAACAATGAACAAATAATGAGCCATAAAATCTGATCAATTCAAAAAGAATTGTGACCAAGATGGGACATTGTTGAAACGGTTTGTAGATAAGATGTCCTGAGCTGATCCTTTACAAATTAGGTTCTTTAAACAACCTTGTACAGAATTGTCCACCATTTTCATGCACAGATTCTACCTAATAGGTATTTTCATGTGAATATAACCATACTGTCACTTCACTAACTACTGTGTGGGTGAATTAGAAAGATCAGAAGAGAGGGATGCAGAAGGAGGGACATACTGTAGACAGAAAGAGAGAAGCTTATACTGGAAAGGTCAATACTGTCAAACTCAAATATCATCACTGTGGCATCCTAATAGCGTTATGCTGAAACAAATACAATCTAATTGAAACCTTGTGAGTTTAAATCTAATGTAATCTGTGTTCAGCCTCTTTACTTATAAAGACAATAAAGCTTTAAACAACAAAGCAGGGATGGCTTAAGAAGAACTTTTCTAGGAAATCAAATAGAACAAAGAATGCCCAATGTAAGTGAACAACGTCAAACACTGAGCATGAACCTACAGTACATGGCCGGGCCTTCCTGTTGGACAGAGAACACAAGGTCAGTCTGACATTTAGTGGAAAGGAAACACTACTTTCATGGCGACAATAAGCCCCAGAAGCAGGGAAAGTGTGAGAGAGAGAAAGGGCGAGGAAGTGGAGATGGCTTCTTTCAGGCGTTGTCATGGTGAGTGCAGGTTGAGGGGGAAGCAGGGGTCAAAGGTCACCCTTCGTGTGTCCATTCCGCTCAGTCAGCTTTATGGGAAGCCGGCAGGGTCGGTACACATTGACGCCCAACATATAGTGTCACATCGCTCTTCTTGCGCCCACAGTTGAGCATGTATGAATGATTAAGGTCAAATCTGGCCATGAATGTAGATCCTGTTACAGACCCACATGTCAGGTCCATCATCCGCCTGTAATATGATCCACCAACACAGCTGGAGAACAGTAGAAAAAAAAAAGGGTCACCGTTGTCCAGTAACATTACGTCAATACCATCTAATACCTTGTCATACAGTCCCCGCAGGCTGTGTAAAGTGGTTTAATGTTTAGAGGTTAAAGGTGGATTACTAATCGCAATGGAATCAAATCCAGCCTCTTCAGTCATTGGAAGATTGCGCCATGAATGGTGTTAATTTAAATGGTTGACTTGAAATACGGTATGTCAGTTTGTATTCCAACTGTGCACAAACAGGAAAGTTAATTTTAATGTTTTGTTATGGCACAGTTGAAATCATATCCAAGACATTCTCAACACTGTGTAAGTTTGAGTTGGATGCAACAGTAATAACGTCACTTGAGAGATTGAAAGAAAAAGTGAGAGACTGGCAGAGAAATGGGGAGAAAGAGAGGAAAAACAGTTCAGAGTTATATTTTATCTCATCACCTTCCAAAGGCTAAGTTGGCTGCCTGTACAGTAAATATGTCATCAGGACAAACTGCTGCCAAGATGCTCAAGACAACCTCCAGACTGTGGCTAACCCCCACTCTTCTTCAGGGGACGGATGCATACATAAGGTATATGAATGTGAGCTCACACATACACACAATCAAAGGGTTACATTAGATTTTTTTCCTCTAATACTGATACTGTATGTCATATTAGTAATGTATTAGCAAGGCATGTACATGAAGACGACTAAGAGTCTACAGCCATTGATGCACAGCAGTGCTTTGAGCTATATGCTAATGTCAGCATGCTAACATGCTCATAATGACAAAGTAAACATGTTTTTGGTCTAGTGGTTATAATGTTTACAGTGTTCACCATCTAACTTTAGTGTGTTAGCATGTTAATTGGTACTAAACAAAGTGCAGCTGAGGCAAATGAGGATGTCATTCGTTTTGCATGTATTTGGTCATAAACCAAAGTATTTGATAAATAAAATCTTGACATGACAAACTGTTGGATGAAAAGTAAAGGGAAGATCAAAATCAATAAAATTCATCCCGAGGGCAGCATGACTGTGTTTACCAAATTTCATGGTAATCCATTCAGTTTTTGTTTTTAAATTATTTATTATTTATTAAGTCAAAAGCTGGGGTCCATCCGCACATTGTCAGTGCATAATTTGGTGAAGAGGCACTGTTTTGGTCATTGGGGATTCAAAGCACTTGAGACCTATGGCCAAAAGGACTATGTGTGTCTACCTCTTTTTCCCTTACTGTTAGTCTACAAATATTTATGCAATAGATGTTTTAGATATATTTATAGAATAAGATTATTTATAATTAGATTAACAATAGCAAAGGTAACATAACCAAGCATAATTTCTATACTTTCTAAATTAGATCTTGTTTTAACAGTACTGAAATCTATTAAAGTTTCAAGGTAATTTCATGCTGATTACCAGCATGGTGACCACAAACGTGTGCTCTAGGGTAATCTAAAACGTACTCGACCACATCAACTATAGCTGTTTCAAAAGACAAAATGTAAAAACAAAAAAACACACACACACACACACTTCTGCATGCACACACACACAGTTCCTACATACCTCTCAATCACAACCTAATTGCCGCCACTTGTATAAATATTCCTGCTGCTGGTGGTTTAACTACAGGCGGACACACAGACCTGAGGTCCAATACCTCAGTCATACCCCACACCAACCCCCGCCAGCCACTCACTGTCAGTTTTATTTTTAACACACGTTGAACCCCAGAAGGCAATGAAGAAGGAAATGAGGTAATATTAAAGCCACAGTTTAGTACTTGAATTTAGTTCAACATATTTGTCCAGATCTTGAAACAGTGAAACTATAAAGCTGTTAGTTTTCCAGTGTATTAAGTTATATATATATATATATATGTCATTTGTTTTAGTAAACTGGATTAAACCAAAATGCTTTATTTAGGTTCTCCAGTTTACAACTTTAATTTGTATAACCTTCAATCTCATAAATCCCAAAACATGTGTACATGTCCGAGGCCGTGCCTCACCAGGAACAGATTGCGAACGTTTGTTTTTATATTTACTAAGATAATGTTGTGAAAACCTTTGTGTGTTTGCCAGCAGCAGCACTGTGGACCATAAACACCACTATGAGCTGAGATGGAACTCCCTTACATGTGGGAGTCATGACAGTAAAGACACACACACACACACACAGATGAACTAACAGGGGCACTCACTGGCCCACATTTGGAACCACTTACAAAAGCAAACATGGGCCAACACATGACACAGCACTGGGGTTGACAAAGCAAGACCCAACACACACACACACTGGAAACACTCCCTTCGTCTATCTCAGCAGATGGCTTTCATCACATCTGAATGTGTCAGTGGAGCGACAGAGAGGACAAGTGTTTGTGTGTGTGTACTGTAAAAGTTCACTGTAATTAGCTGAGAACAGTCAGAACCTTTCTCATACAGTAGGTCCTATCTTTAATGGAGCTGAAACACACACACAGTGCGCACACACACCCCGCTTTCATCTTCATTCCTGTTTAATGAGTGTCAAACTGCCCATCCCGAGGAGGAACCCCACGGAAGGAATTTAAAGAAGGAGCCAGAGAAAGAAACCGAAAAGGACAGAAGGAACAAGCTGAAATCATCTTTATGAAATCCTCCAAATCACAAAAGAGATTATACAGTGAAGCTCTGTGTTAGTTTGTGATGGCTTTTCTTTGCCTCGTAATAGTACTTCCCTCATCAGAAAATGGCTGAATGGTGGTCAGAGGCCAAAAACTGATTCACAATGGTTAAATAAAGCCCGGGAACAAAAAGAACCTAACAATGACACACAAAGTCCCCGCTAGAATGAACTGAGAGTTAGGTGGTGGAGAGGGGGCAGGAAGAGTTGGGAGAAACAGGGAGAAGCAAGAGGAAGAAAGCCATATAGTTTTAGTGAGGGACGAAGGGAACTGAGCTGAGAAACAGCTGTGGAAGAAGATGTGAAGTGCTTTCGGCTGGATTTAAGGCATCAGAGGACGGAAAGGATGTAAAGAGAGGGCTGGACAGAATCATGTTTTTAATTTCAAAATCAGACACACATTATTTTTACAGTGTCTGATGTACCCTTACTGGCTTTTGAATATACTACCTTTTTTGCTTCGAGATATTGATGATCACAGACTGCTGAACATTGCTACTGTATGCTGTCAAAAATGTCTGTTTGTTGCCGTGACATAGGCTTATTTTAAATATACTTGTCAGGTTTTTTAAACTCTAATTTAGGGAGTCAACTAATAATTATTTTCAGTCAATTTATCTGTTGATATTTTTTTTTGTAAATTGATTAATTATTTAGTAGTAGTACATTTCTACAGTCAAAGGCAGTGCCTTCAAATTGGTTGTTGTTTTGACCCATTAAGTCAAAAACCCCCAAAAAAGATATTAAATGTTTACCATGATATAAAACAGATAAAAACATGTAATTTGTTGGTTTCAGTTTCTGAAATATTTAGTCATATATAGAGGATTTTCTCCTCGTATTTTTCTCCTCATGTGAGGATTTTCTCCTCATATGTCACAAACTGAAACCAACAAATGACATGTTTGCTTAATGAATTACTTAAATTATTGTTTATCAAAATATATCAAGTGTGTAAACCCATTATCAACTAATTTCTTCAGCACTGCACCCAAATATCTTTATCATATCTGCCTCAAAATACAGTATTGGCCAAAATATCAATAACCATAATATTGGTTCAAATATCTTCACCAAGACAATGAAAAATTTAACTCCCACGACACTGTCTGTAGTTGGAAATGATCTGTGTAGCTTTGAGAATAAAAGAGAGAAACACTGTACAGGCATTCACGTTTTCCCTCCTCTTGTCCCGGGACACATAGCTATTGTATCCTAGCAACAGGCACAAAGAAGCCAGGCCACCACAAGGAGCAGGAAGTTCAGTTTCTCTGTTGTCTCTTACGTTGTATTTCTTACTCTGTCTGATCTATCATCTTTATTTCTTTCCTCTCCCCCTTTTTGTTATTTTTCAGGTGTTTGTGTGTAGGCCCTGTCACACTCTTCCCCCGTCTCCCTCCCTCACTTACTCTCTGTAACCCTCTTTCAACCTCTCACCCTCTCTCTCTCTCTCTCTCTGCCACTCTCATTTTGGCATTGCCACGCCTGTTGCTGACACAGCAAACAGAGACAACTAGGGAGGTTTTCCTCTCTGTGTTTTTTTTTTTTTTTTTCTCTCTCTCTTTTAAAAAGGAGCGTCTGTGGGGTGAAATCATCCGGCGGACCGCCGGCTGCTGCTGGAAAAATCCACAGCAGGAATTTTGGACAATCTGACATGGAATCCGAGCGGAGGACACAGGGCCAGAAATGCCCTGTTCTGGCTAAAAGTAACCTTGTAATTTAAAGGAAAACACCAAGTTTTAAGCCAGTTTTATAACATTCTTGTGAAGTGAGGAGAACACAGCCACAAGTATCCGTGTGTCCCCAGTAGCGTTTGCTCTAGAGCTCTTTTTATGATGTTGATCTACAACAAGCATTAGAAAAATACTAACATACAGAAAGAAAAGTACAGATTAAATGGGCAGATGATTTATATGTTATTCCACAGTTTATTTTTTAAACTATTACAAGTGAGCAACATTATCATTCATTGTGTAGTGAATTCATGCTGCACACAGTAAATACTTATTGACTTTATGGGTTTTTTTTGTCAACTTAATTGTTTCCTGTGAAACATTCAGAAAATTAAGTCTTTAGTCCATAAACAGGAAAATTACTTGCAGGCTTCAAGCTTCTCAAATACGAGGATTTGCTGTTTTGCTTTGTTTTCTATCATCGTAAATGAAATATCTTTGGATTTTACTGCAATTTGAAGACAAGTTGTGATGGTCATTTCTGAAAATGTATCCACATAAAAAGTTATCAATTCCCTCAGTGTATTGTTTGATGAATTGCTTTTGTCACAACACCAATAAGCCAACTTGAGCTGAAATGATTAGTCAATTAACATATTTGTTAATCGACAGAAAACGTATCTATCAAAATATTTGCTGATTAATTCTCACTGTGTTTCTCTTTTGTGATAGTAAACTACATGTATTTGGGTTTTAGACTGTTGGTTGGCCAACATTGGCTAATTGAAGTCACTTTGGGGTTTAGGAGGTTGTGATGGGCATTTTTCTCTATTATCTGACATTTTATAGACCAAATCATTATCAAATAATCAGAAAATAGTACTGAATTATTTGCTAATGAAAATGTGTTCCAGCCTTGTTAACCAATGGTCCAATACTCTCCAAAAACAACTTCTCTAAGCATTCTCTGATATGACAACCATGATTTGCCTCAGAGGCCAGGCATCCTCTTCAAAACAGGAAACGTATGTGAATATATGACCTTCCCTTTACACAGAGCTGACAGCGAGTGCGAAGGACCCGGGATGATAGAAATAGATGGATGGAGAGTCACAGAAGAAAATACGATCCAGAGGATGAAAGAGTAGTTTTCCTTCTGTTGTGGCCTGTAGTTGTTCTGTGCTGCCTGGGAGACTCTGTTGTCCCACTTGAGGTCATTGCTGGTACAGTACAAACTAAATGCCATTCCAACACAAACAGTGGAAAAAGAACACTTAGTCTTTATCATTATGTCAAGAGGTTGTGAATAAATCATATTAAAGCAACAACACTGAGGCAACTATGTTCACACATTTTTCCATCAGCTTTGCCCAAAAATGTTTTTAACACAGTTCTCAAATAATGAACCAAAACAACGAATTGAGTCTGACTTGTAGTTTAGCTTCTCATGCAAACACTGTTAAATACACAAAAACAGAAAACACTTATAGCCTTTGAAAACCAGCGTCCAAGCAGCAGTCGACCATGTAAAAGCACTGCTGGGCCCTGGATAGATTGAACCAGTGTGGCAGAAGTGGTGATAGGAGAAAGAGAGAGGAGAGAGGGTGGAAACCACACTAACCAGATTAGCGTTAGTCTCCAAATAGCCTTCGTCCACTTCCTCCTCTACGCCCGGCACAAACCTGACCTCTGTTCCAGACAACAACACAAACATACAGAAAAGCAGTGCCTACTCTCTCTCTCTCTCTGAGGGCTGTGACCTTATGAACTCACTTATACTACGCATTAAAAAGGCATTGTTTGCTGCTGGTTACTTTAGAGCTCCAAACCTGAAATTTTGCACATTGGTAACAAGTGGTACACTAACTGTCTAATGTTTGACAGCTCAGAACCTGGGGGGGTGGGAGGATGGTGGCACCAGCGACAGCTGAAGAAAAAATAACAATATTCCTCAAACCCTGCGAAATATCATTTTGCATGTTATAAATTAAATTAATATGGCTGCAATGTTCTGAATTCACAGTTTGATTCGCATATACATCATTGTGAAAGTTTCTTTTTAGCACAAGGAAGCAATTAAATAGGGTGTTTTTAGGGTGTCAGTGACTAGGGTATGAGGGGATGTTCAAAGTGTTCCTCCGCTAAGCCTCTGATAGTGAACAACTACACAATCTTACTTTTGGATTTGTTCCTGCATTTCACAATAAAAAGTACTACAAGTTATCAAGTTTTAGTCAAAGGTCTTACAGGATGTACTCAGGAGACATCATATTGATGTAGATTTGCTAATCCCTACATGAGTTAAAGCCATTACAACTATAGCCATTATGTCTGCCATGCCAGCCTTAAACATATTACATGGTTA